CGGAAAATCAATTAACAAACGGAGACGTAACAGTGGTTTTAAACAGGTTATTTTAAGGCCATCGTGTTGCTTCATCACGATACCTACTTAATAGCACTTATTTGAGGTAAATTGGAATATCATTTGCTTCTTGTGTTTTCGAATCTTCTTCAAACCACGAGCTAATTAAACAAGTGAACAAGATATTAGCAACTTGAATACACATACAAGTTTTCGACAAAGTGTAATATTTTATTAACAAGACTGGGTAAATGAGAAAAAAATAAGAAACACAGTTGACAAAGCTACTAGGGAAGAAAAAAAAAAGGGTTGTTACGACAGCGGAAGTCACCCGACGCTGGAAGCATGCTCGCTGGAGTTTCTAGAAGGATCATGTCTCTTCCTGGCAACCCTAGTCTTTTCTACGCGCCCTCTATTTTAGTATATATGCAGGCAAATAAAGCGAGATAATTAATTGAATTGCAGACAGGCAGAGATAGAGACGGACAATTGTGTCAAGTGCGGTAGTGACCGTAAGTAAAGTGTATGAATCGTTGTGAATTATAGCGTGTGTTTAACTTAAAGTGACCGTGGAAATTAAGTGTATTGCAAAGTTTTATTGAGCAAGAATAAACTAGTTTTATTTAAGAAAGGACTTGTATCGCTGAAGTTTCATCGGAAAGAAATTATACCGGAAATTATCAAACAAGCAGAGACGTAACGGGGTATAATGTGCGTCATGAGGATAAGTAATAGAAAAAAGTGTTATAAAAGGGGTTCAATTGATAAACAAAACTGGATTCTTGCGAGTGGAAGAAAATCAAAAATATAACTACTGGTTTATTCTTCCAGATGAACTTGTGAGGAAATAAGCGAAACGTTAGAGGACGTGAATCTCTTCTGAAAATGAATGTTCGTGATAATTAATAAAGAAATAAGTTACGAGACAGCGAAAATTATAATTTATTAAATAAAAAGATAAATCTGGAGAAAAATGAGAAAGAAGATAAGTGGGAAATGTACTTTAAAAAATCAGAGAAAGTTTGAAGGTACGGTTAAAACTTATCTGTAGTCTGGTGGCTAGGACGCTTGACTGGCAATTGCGATTCGCGGAATCGAAATATGTTGCCGAACATACTCACCCCTTGAGTCAGGGGTGTTATAAGGTGAAGATCGTTCTCACTATTCGTTGGTAAAAAGTAGCCCAAGAGTTGTGGTTGGTAATGTTGACTAGCTGCTTTCCCTTTAGTTTTTCATTACAAAATAAGGAACGGCTTTCACAGATAGGCCTCGAGTAGCTTTGCGCAAATATTCAACAAACAAACAAACTTGTCTCGTATAACAAATTTATAATTTTAACCTTCAAGATCCCTTCAGCGTTATGAAGACAGTATTTGTGGAAAGTTGTGATGAAGATGAAAAACAATAATCCATATTTTAGAGACTTTACTAATGTTCTGTTTTTATGTTCTCACGATATATTACAATTTTATGTTCTAAAAGCATTTAGATCTCCCAACACAGCTGGTACGATATTTAGTTTTTTTTATCAAAGTGTCTGAAACTTTAATAACATCATTATTAAAAAATAACTTCAGTACTTTTAAAACTTCGGTTAAGTTGAAAAAAGATTATATATAATATATATTATATGAAACTGAAATCATAAAATAAAATCACCATATTTGTTTTTCAAACGCTCTAATAAAGGTTTTATACGAATTCTTTGAAAACACTGTTTTCTTAACAGATAGATACCAACTGTTTTTCAACTTACAAAACATCATATGCGCCTTTATCTAAAACTTTACTCAAATAGCGCATTTCTCACAAATAAAAATCCAACTGTCAGTGAACTGTTCCGAGAAAACCGAATTCTGCATTGGGAAATTATGTTGTTAGTGTAAAATGTGTTGTAGCTATAAAAGCACCTAGGCTTATAAAATGATAAGAAATTAATATTAACTTCTGTTCAAAGTAAACCACCTACATGATAGATCACAACTAAACATATACTCAGTAAAGAACACACCTAATGAGATATACTGTTCAAACTATCTTAATTATGATTAGAACGTGTGGTTATGTCAGTTGGGTACTTTCGCTGAATCACTCACTGTTAACGGCATTTTCGGCCGTAAATTGTTTATTTTCAAGCTGGTATATAGTATTTACTTTAAAAGAAACTCAACAGAGGGCAGTGTAGTTTACTTCCGGCGGGATTAGCTGGTGAAGAAGAGTATAGACGTGCCATTGTTAATTATGATTTGATATTTTAAAAGAAGTATTGACTATTCAGGTACAAAATAGATGGCCAAGCAGTATATGTACCATAGAACAAAATAGTATTTCACAATGGAGAAGGAATTTCATGAAATCGATAGCAAGAACGCTTGGGCACAAGCTTTCCAGGTGAGTGAACTGTTCAGTGTCTCAGTTTATCTTAAGTTAAGACTAAGTAACTGTACAGGCGGTAGATTTATTTTGTACGACGGCTACGTATACAAGTACATTCTATGAATAATCATTGCAGTTAAATTAGGCCTAATGTCAGATGGTACCAGCATTTTACTAGTATTATTACTGTTAGATAATTTTCGTTTCTTGTAATGTGATTTATTTATATTTAGAAATAATCAGAATAGGCTGGCATAAGTTTATGACTGTGCTGTGTGCACTAAAAATAAGGGGTTTCAGTGATACTTAAATAATGAAAATAAAAAATCACACACCATTGGATTCCACAGTCACAAATTAGTAGATTTACACTGCAATTTCAATTATTTAGTTCTTAATTAATGAAAAACAATTAGTAATCATACCTGTAAATTGACCTTTCGCTCCACCCTACCTGCTCATTGGAACCACATTAACAAAATGTCAGTGATTTATCGTTTTACCTGGTAACCTGATACTGTGTGACACCCATGTCAAGGCAAGATAAAATGTAGTTCCATTAATGTCCATCCATTTGAAACTCATACACATGTGTTCATATTATATGGATAAATAAAGTGAAAATTGTCAACAACCAAATGTTAATAATGAAGCATGAGCTTACCTATGTACCTATGAAATAATAGGTGAAATACCATGATTGATCTCTACCCATTCAACATCATGTCATGATGTAATTGATACATCATTTGTAGCCACACCCAACAAAATGAATTTTAAATGGTTTTAAAGTTTTATTTGGGTGTTTTCATATAGTAAATGCTTCTGGATCCAATGAAACTGGCCAGACCAAAGTAGAGCATGAAGAGAGCTATTTTTCATTTGTTGTTTGTGTACAATAATTGGTATTTTATTTATGTGAGATTTATATATTCACAATTGTGATTTAGTATTCACATGCTTCCATGGCCAGGAACTACAGGTATCTGGGACGCTCTACTAAAACTAAAAATTAATCATGAATATTTTTCTGTAATAGATGTTACCTCATTTTTCAGTCATTAAAGGTATTTACTGAATTACTTAGATTACTGTCAATAGTATAAATTATAATTACCATTAGTATTACTGTTACATATAGTAATATTATTTAATTAAGAGTTTAGTCTTTTACAGTGCTAGATCTTAAACTCTCTTAATAGTATGTAATCAAGTGTTTATAGTAGTACTAATACTGTAATAATAAGGGGTCCCAGAGAATTATAGTTCCTGGCCATGAAATCTGAGTTGGAAATATATAAATCTCACAAACAAAATACCATTTATTGTACACCAAAAATAAATTAAAATGTGTGCAGTACTAATACATGCAGGATTTGTATCATTTATTTCAAGGCAACTGTACTCCCATTAGTTGTAAATTGGCTTTAAAAACATGATGATTGCTAAAGCTGTCATCCACCCTTTTTCAGTGACCAGCAAGCAAATGTTAAAACTAAAAACAGGATGTTTGTTCAAATCGGTTGGACCATTAAGGATTGATGATACATCAAACAATAGCTCTCTTCATGTTCTACTTTGGTCTGACCGGTTTCATTAGATCTAGAAGAATTTACTATTTGAAAACACACAAACAAAGCTATAAAACCATTTAAAATTCTTTTTAGCCATTGAATTTGTAGAAACAAGTCCATACAGTAAACTTTTTGGTTTGTATTGCATAATTCATAAACTGATACATAGGTATGTCTTCCCAAATCGAACTGACAGCAAGTCAAAAAATGATGAATGGGGCTTGTAAACTATCTATTTGTTGCCCTGGTAACTAATTAATTACTTTACATCATGCCATTGGGTGTAAACAGACTATGTTGTCTTCACGACAGTTTGCTATACATCATATCAGCGAAAGAACGTGTGCTACCATAGTCTATGAAAAAAAGTAGTATGAACAATATATCAATTACATCTTCACATGACGTAGATCGGGTAGAGGTTACTACTGATACATGTCTGTCAATCACGATATTTCAGGTTTACAACCAGTGTGATTACAAAATCTCCTATACTTTCATAGGTATGTTGGATATACAAAACTGTTTAATGCAAGTGGTATTATTTACTTTATTTTGTGACTTAATATTTAATGATTGTTTAGTTTTTAAGACAGGAGTATTGAAAATGGATTGTTTTAAAAGTTAGTTGGGACATACTTCATCACGTAACTCTGTACGAGTCATATGTTATGTTTGCAATTACATTGTTGTTTAGGCTTTACTAATATTATTGACGTCATGTTACTTAAATCTTCAGTATTTTTCTCATTACCTTAAGTGAGTATTGTGACCTTACAGTGCTGTTCGCGTAGTTTAGAGAAAGTTCAAGGCCTCGGTGAACAACATATAAATAAAGGTGACAAAGCGAGTGCAAGTCAAGTGCAGTTCAGTCAAAAAATTAGTTAGCGAAAGAAAAAATGAAGCTAGTCAGCGTGAGTGATTAGCCCTAATGGGTGATATTTTACAGTGAGTTTCACAGTTTAATAGAGATAAGGAGAATAATTTGTATTGTTAAAGGGTGTTCAAAAGTAATTGAACCCATCAGTGTGGACTTTGACAAAAAGGGTAATTATTTAAAGTTCGAGATACAACTGTGGTAACCCGTGGGGTAACATAAGTGAATTGTTCACTGATAAGAGTAGAGAAAAATTAATCGTCTTGTCAATTGGATTCTAAAGTAATTAGATCAGATTTAGTAGACTTTTGACAAGAAAAGAGAAATATTTAGAGTTTTAGATAAAACTGTGATTTCCTATAGTCTAAAGAATTTGTGTACATACGTTTGACTTGTTTTGAATATATTATCTTAAAACAAGTGAATTGTGTGCTGTCCATTTATTGTTAGAATTTATCGCCAACAAGTCACAGACACCTACTGTAAAGAATCCAAGCCCATATACATAAAAGCCTGACAAGGTACTTAGGTAAGCTCATACTTCATTGTTAACATTTGGTTATTAACATTTTTGATTTCATTTATCCATATAATATGAATACGTGCGTATGAGTTTGAAATTGATGGACTCTATTGGGACAACATTCTATCTTGCCTTGACATGGGTGTCACACAGTATCGGGTTACCAGGTAAAATGATAATATATCAATCAGTCACATTCTGTAAACATTGTTCCAATGGGAAGGTAGCGTGGAGCGAAAGGTCAATTCACAGGTACGATTTTTAATTGTTTTTCATTAATTATTAACTACATAATCAAAGTTACAGTATAAATGTACTAATTTGTGACTATGAAATCCAATGGTGTGTGGATTGTTTTGTAATTTTTATTATTTCAAAAACACCAAAACCCTCTAGTAATAGTGCATAGTAGTTTATAAAAGAAGCATTAGGAGTCAAAATAGATGGAAAAACACTTGGCAACAGTAACTGTCAGGTGCTTCAGTTTTAAATGAACTTTACTTTATAGATGCAAATAATGGTAGTAAGTTATTTTTTAAGCTTGTGTAATGAAAGTAAAGAATTTATAACATAAATGTCTTAATAAGTACCAGAATCTATATTAAAGTAGTAATATATTGAAGTGGAGACAAATATGATAACCAAAATATTGTCAAACTAATTATTAGTAGATTGTAAGGTTTTCCCTTTAACAATTTGACAAGTGGTTATACCTTACAATCTAATGAATTGCTTCATAGTGATAGTGTATGGCTTTCTTACTTGCATTGTTGACATATTATGCATATAATAATGAGTTATTATTATTAGTTATTGTACCCTTAAGTAAAGAATGTTTAATACAGTTTCTTACTATAATGGTGGTAATCACATTTTGTTATGAACCAAATCCTTTGGAACATACAACTCATTGGCAGAAGACCACTTGTCCCATTATTCTTACCAAGCAAAAGAAACTAGTGTAACTGAACTATAGTCCGTCATATTCGAAAGATCTTAAAGGAATTAAAACTTATAGCCCATGTGACATCATTTGGCATATCGTTCCATAAATTATTCATTTTAATACAAAAAAATGTTTGCTTAATAATAAGCATTGAGTTGTTCTTCTTTAATTTATAGTTATTTCTTCTAATCAGGACAGTTTACCCAAAACCTTAATAAGCCATAGCTTAAGTGTTTTAAGTAGTTGGCAAAAGTTTTGAAAAGTAAATTTTAAGTGGTATATCAAACTGTGGGATACAGGTATAAGTTCAAACACTGAAGGTGAGACTGTTCATTTTAAATGTTAATCTAAATTATAAGTTTTAAATGTTCCCACAAGGCGGGGGAAACCATTAAAATTCTGTGAATTTTATATATTGTGTTCTTATCCTGGATATCATCAGGAAATTTTATTTTACAGATAAAATCCAGGAAAAGACAGTGAATTTCATGTGATTCAGTAATGTTTCAGGACAAGGTTGATGAAAAATGTATTTTTATTAGCACCAAAAGTTACATATAATTGTAGAGCATTTAGCATATCAGACCTTTACTAGCAATACTTATAAACTTACGTTATCAGTTTAACCTTGAAGAAGAATGGTACACCTTTGAAAGTACTCGATATATAGCATTTTTATCATTTTATGTTAAGACTTCTTAAACCTACAAGTTTTTCTGACATCATGAAACTTATGTTAGTGTCATTGTAGTACTGTTAAATATGGAGGAGGGTCCAGCTGCCATGGACCCCTTGCCTAGATCCACTCCTACTAATACAAAGTTAAAAAAAAAACATTACATTAAAGAATAATTATTAATTTCTGGGAAAATATTAAAGGTTTAGATTCCCTTCCTTCAATCCATGCCTGCTTATTCAACACTAACTAATACAGTTACCAAATAATATTAGAAACATAACTAAATATGAAAATTTACAGTAAATTTACACTTTATTTAACACTATTGTAGCCAGAGAGTTGGCAGTGGGTGCTGCCAGTCCATTGTCTTCACTTAGATTATTTGTAATTTTGTGACATTAATCGATTACTTACAA